CAGCCATAGTTTTCTCTAAGAAAATACTGAGCACTCACCTGCCAAATTTACACCTGCTTTGTAGGCTATCAGAAAATCAGAACTTATACTCCCCAAAGGAGTTACAGAACATTTTCATGTATTAAATTTTCAATACGAAAGTTGTGGTTAGGGTCCTAAGGATGATGTAACTGTTAATATTTTGTCACTTATCATCTTAAAACAAAGTCCTTTTCATTGTTTGGAGCTTAATTTTTCCTGATTTTAGTTTTTTCTTTTTTTCTTTTTTTACCAAACTTCAAAACAAACCCTAACCCTAAGAATTGTGATCCAAAAACAGGTTAACACTTTTTGTGCTTATCCTAACATCAAAATTTTCCCCCCAAAACATTCACTCAAATATGTCCCAGAATGCAGGAAATCATGTCCTAGAAAGACTAAAATTTCAAATTTTTCTTGGTGAGCACACCCACAGAAACCCATGACAGCCATCTACTCAGTTCAGATCCTACACCTATATATTTCTAATGACAACCCTGACTTTCTGATCATCAACCAAGCATCCAGTAATTAGAAGGCCATTACTACTACTGCTTCAAGTTTTTCTCAGTCTCTGCTACATGTAGTGACTTAGAAGAAGGTTGCTCTTCTTCCCATGGAGTTCTTTATGTATTTCCCTTTCTTGAAAAGTTGTTGGAGTCTCCTAAGAGGTACAAAACAACTGTTTTAAGTGTAGGGTAGGAAATTTATTTTGATCCAAGTCACAGAGTTGCAAGATAATGCGAATACCTTTAATACCAAATTTTCAAAAGTACAGTTTGGTATTAAATTTTTATCCAGAGCAAAAATCTTGCTTAGGACATATCACTTAAGATATATCACTTCTAACATCAAAACCTGTTTTAGGCAGGCACTCACAGAAACCTTGCTAATTTCCTCTTCACTCTTAAACTCTCAGGAATGAACAAGAAATAATTTCTGCAGCCAAGTGATGAGGAAAGCAAAAAAATTGTTTACTAGGGGATTATTATTTGATGCAAGACTAAATTCTTGGAACAAACTTCATAAGAAATTTATGGACGGAAGTAAGGAGAATTTTGATTGAGATATTGGAAGTGAAAGGGATAATTTAGGCTGTGAGTTCAATTCATGTTCTTTCGAATTAAGGTATGTTACACCGTCGATCGCCCACGTCATTTTTAAAAATCCAATATTTGGAGCTTATTCCATCTTAGACAAGCTCTGTTATGGCAGATTTTTTATTTTTAAAGAATTGCAAGTATGGTCGAAAGTAAGTATGTGTGGTTTCTTTTGTTAACCCTTTAGCTCCTAAAAGTGACTAGCATCTAATTTCTCCTTACTATATCACCCCTGAATCAAACATGAAAGTTATGAGAATAGAGAAGATGATCACCAACTGAAGCAGCTCTTGACTGTTAAACAATTCTCCTTGTCAGCCTCTTTGGAAATGTTTAGAGAGTGGTATGGAGAATATGCATATTGATGTTAGGTGGTAAATGGTTGAAGAACATACCTGATGGACACATTTTATCTGCTAAAAATGTTTAATACCCTGTACTTTTACACGCTTATAAAACTGCTCAGGGTCATATCATGTGTAAATTATTAGCTAAAAGAACTCCAGATTTTCTGTTTCGCAAAAAGACCTAATCGTGATCTCTTTTAGGGTCCGTATAATACGTGGTTCTTGTGAAAATTCTCTGAAAATATGGTGGTGAAATATGCTGTAGTCGATGAAAAGAGAGTTGAAGTTTGTTGTAACGGGGTTTTATGCATTTAGTAGTTGCCACTTAGATTTCTGTTGCTTTAGAATGAAGAATTCGCGTTTTATTATCTTTATCATTATTATTTTAACTGTCGGTGCATTGCGCAGACTGTGTTAACAGCTTTGTCTTTTGTCATTATCATAATCGGTTCTATCACTCCCCAAGACGCCAGATCAATTATCGACTTCATCAATGCAGCTTTAACACTTTATCTTGTTATCACAGCTGTCGGGAGATCTTTGGATCAGTAGTGCAGCATAATATTCCGCTAAACGGGTCTTGTTTCGGTTCACGCATCCTGTTTTCAGCATAACGAATTATCTCCTGTAGTTCTCCCACTCTCATCAGTTGTGTATAAGTAGGGTTATTCATTAGTAAAGTTCACTTGCATTCAGTTGAAATTTTTTTTATCACCGAATGACAACCAGATGTTTTTGCATAAAAATGTTCCAATTTTGGAATTCACGCTTGACAAAGGTCAAGCGGGGGAAAGAGCAAAAGAAACGATCAGATTCTGGTACTAATTGGAACATGAAATGGAGATGGTTATTGTTTATCTTACAGATTTTTATCGGCCTAAGGAATCTCACACTTCTAGTTTTGGACAGAAAATCTCAGTACGTAGCGTAACCTTATAACAGTGATGTAGTTGGCATCCATTCAAACTTCGCTATGCGCCAAAGATTTTGTGTGGTTTTAGTCGGAATGATACGTTATATAACTTCATGCGTTTTCGTGTGAGCTTTGGAAGAAACAAAGAAATAATATGTCAGACAACCGCTATTGAACGTTTTATTCTAGGTTTTTCCACCTTATTTGGCCGTTGTTTGGCATTTAAGGGGCAAACGTTTCCATTTCCATGTTCATTGAAACACAAACAAGCTTACAGAAGGCAATAGTCTGATGTCGTGTTTAATGCCGCCCTTCTAAGTTGCAAATAGGAAACTAAAAAAGTTAACGCTCTTTTCAACTCATGTGTCGCTTTTGAGTCCATAGTGATTTTCTGTTGACAAACGGCCTGCGACCGTGGTTTTCGATCAGATTGCCGCATGTTGGATTAAATGGCAGAAGAAGTCTGGGGTGAAGAAATTGCACAAAGTAATTTCTGTACTTCTCTCCCCTCCCCTCCCCTCCTCTCAAATTTCCACCCCAATGCCGGGAGTAGTTTTGTTCTCGCTTTCTCTCTCTCACGTTAAGGTTATAAAGTTGGTATTATCAGTGAAACACGGATCTGTCTGAATTTTTATTAGACAAGATTTAAAACGATTATTACATGTGATAAGAGATTTGGTCATCTGTTATCATGTGAACCACCGTGGGGGTGAAAGTAGAGATTATCTATTTCATTTCTTTGATCCGACCTGTAGATTTCTTTGTTTTTATTGATTTCCATAGTTTTAACTTCTCGCTCACTTTTATTCGGGTGTTTCGGGTATGGGTGTTTCGGCATTGACTGGGTGTTGCCGTTGGCGCCAATTGGTAGACAATGTTAGCGGACATTGTCTACCATGTTATTGTTACCTTTATGTATGACACTGGACACCATTTATGAAGCGCAAAATAACAGTCGCCTCTTTAGGCGGTTGGAAACACCAGCACTTCTGTTACATGAAACCTTTATTAGGCAAATCACTTTCAATGAATTTGAATTTCATTTTTATCCGATTGGAGTTTAAGATTACGATCTTAAAACGTTTTATGGTTACTGCCCACGAATTTTTTTCCTTTATTTGACTAAACTGAGTTCACATATTTGCCTTAAGTTTCCAAAAGAAAAAAAAGTCTAAATCTCCAAAGTACCAGCCTCGATACAAAAACATGAAAAATCGCCTCGAATTGTAAGTTTGAAAGCTGTCTGTCAATTCGTTGTCTTGCCTCACAGCACATTTTCCGGTTTTGTCATCTTTGCCGCGGTATTTTCCTTTACCTCAAGCTCTTTTGCCCATTTTTTGTCTCGTCCTCCTCAACGCTGCACTGAGCGATGGAGATAAAAACAATGTGTCTGCAATGGGTTACTTTTCGCGGGAAATCATGATCCATCGTCATTGATGACAGGAAGTTCCGTTGTTCCATTGGTTTGTGGTTTCAGGAGGCGAGATAATCTTCTGGCGTGGCGCGGGTTATTTACGAACCTTTATGAGCTAAAATCTCTGGCATTTGATTTTGGCAGGAATACATCCACTTTGTGTTACAGGGTATTTAGATTTAACCAATTATGGTTAAATTTGGTCAAATTTCGCCAAATTATTCCTGAAATAATGACAAATGAAAGCCTGTCGGGAAATTTTGATATTTTAAATATTTGTCCCGTGGCGTCCATTTACGCAACACGCCTCGCATATTTTTAGCTACTCCAACTTAAGATGTCGATATCTAGATAACCAATCCGAATATCGAGAAAGCCAGACATTTCATGTTGATTGAAGCCTTGTGAATAAGACTGTGTAGCCATTTTGGTTGTGCTACGACATCTGGTACCCGATAAATTCAATAGAAGACCCCTCGGTCGTTTCACACGCTTTACCGGCTCCTGACACCTCCTAAAAGGAAAACTCGCTTAAATTATATGTTTATCGCAAACTGCATTTATCAAGCTTTCTTCTGATGTATAGTTTGCTATGATTTTAGTGAAACTAGCGCGCGTACAAATATTTTTCCCGAAGGACACCCGCGAAGATTGAAAGTAACCTTAAATTGTAGTGATAAATTGCCATAAGTGTTATTCTATCCACCGGAACGGCCAGATTCCTAATAGGTGATAACTCACTCTGTTTCATATAGGGGGTTAACAATTAACTCCAAACGGTAGTGTGCAGACATCTTACTAGATTGAGTGAGTTCAGCGGGTGTTCGATCAAGCCGCATTGTCTTCATTAGTTAACTATTGTAACGGGTTAACAGGCGTCACTTTTGCGCGTTTTTCTCAGGTAAGTGGCGGCAAGGGTCATACGAGAGCCCGGAAGGTGCGAACGTCTCACGCGCGCTCGAATGAGCGATGAAATTACGCCTCTTCCTGCTGGTTACCCTCAGAGTTTTGAGTTAACTACAGCTTCCACATGATGGTAGTATGGAAATCGGGATCTTGCGCTTAAAGCTTTTTCACTGGCCTGGTCACTTAGTGAATTCTTGGGCAACACACTTTACTGTCACAGAAACACTTTTCAGGGGAGGTTTTACTTCTTTCAAGTTAATCTCGTGTGGTAAATAATTAAATAGATTTTCTGATTATTTTAGGTTTGACGGGAGAAGGCATTTCCCTTAGCGTGGACAGTGCAACAAAGGATTTTGTTTTAAACTTCGACCTCCTCCTCCGAGGTGAAGTTCGTGTTTCCATTGTATTAGAACTAGACAACGCTGATTTATACACAGTGCATTACACATCCAACAACGCTTTTCTTTCGTCCAACGGCAAGGAGGTGTTTTATGGTGTGGGACACTGGAAAGGCTGGAGAAGAATTGCGCGGAATTTAGACACGGATTTAAGAAAAGGAATAAAGTTTCCTGATAAAAAGAATGCTAGAAAGGGTAAAATGACGTTGACAGAAGTACAAAGCATTTTACTTCACGGGAAGGGTTTAATTGATAATATCACATTAATGCGCTCAGCTCATGAGCATTCGTTTCTGGCCGCGGCAAACTGGTTCTTACGTTATCAAAATAACCTTGGTAGCTGGCCAATCACAGTAAAGCGTAAAGTGATTGACGGCGTCACTCTGTTGCCTGACTGGTATTCAGCCATGGGGCAGGGGCAAGGCATGTCTCTGTTGACCAGAGCTTATCTCTTCACGAAAAACCCGGCCTACTTAAGAGCAGCTCTCCGAGCCACTAAACTGTTCAAAGTCAAGGCTGTAGACAAAGGAGTTTTAAACACGTTCATGAACCAGTATCACTGGTACGAGGAATACCCCACATCGCCATCAACGCTAGTCTTAAACGGTTTTATTTACTCGTTGCTCGGGCTCTACGACTTGAAGCTTACTGCGGGTCCTCAACAAGGTGCCGAGGCAGCAGAGTTGTTCGATCAGGGCATGCGCTCTTTAAAAGCAATGCTACCTCTATATGACAGTGGATCCGGGAGCTTTTACGACCTCCGTCACATGACCATGCACGTCGCGCCCAATTTGGCGCGTTGGGATTATCATACGCTACATGTTAGTCTATTGTATGTCTTGGCGAATATCGACCCAGATCCCATCCTCAAGACAACGGCAATGCGTTGGGAAGGATATACTCAAGGAAAGAGAGCCAAACACAATTAAGTTTTTACATAGTAGAGCAATTTTCAATTGAGTGTCGAAAGTAATCCTGTATTGCTTTGGTTTTTACTAAACTTAGCTCTATGATTGGTCCAGAAAACGTGCGCCATCTTCTCAACCAATCAGGTGCAAAACTAAAAACGATCGCTCTTGGTCTTCCGCGTTTTCCCACGGTTTAAGCAGTTTGCTTGTTTTCGCTTTGAGTTCTCATTGGCTAACGATGGTGTACATCTTTGTTCTGATTGGTCGCTGGGATTACTTTGGTTTTGGCTTTTCTGACACATAATGGAAAACTGCTCTATTTCCTTTTTTAATCATTGATTTCTGCTTTTGACAGACTTTGATTGAAATATAAAAATGTGTTAGCGTTTATTTAAGATCATTAATTGTACGGCTCTTTACGGCCGATGTCATGAAATTTATTTATTACTTACACGATCATGTTAGCACGTTTTTTTTTTTCCGGGGGGGGGGGGGCAGGGGGTTGGAAGGGGGAAATTTATATTCTCTCTCAAGTTAGGCGGGTCACAGACCTCCATACTTTAGCCACCTCTAGCTTGTGTTTGTGCGGTATTCTATTTTGGATATCACGCCTTTTACTTTGACATACTCTAATTAGCCTTAGTGGGGAGCTCTTACAATTTAAAGAGCTTTGAATCAAACGGTTTAGGATCAGTATAGAAGACAACCAGATTTTTTGACAAGACACTTGAATCGTAGTGACTGAATTTCTTCATAGAACAGTTTTGTATATAAGAATCTGTCGTCGCCTTCTCTGTTCAGACAAAGAGATATCCAATCCAGCTTCCAACTGTTTTCTTCAATCTCCAGAATGTACCATACTTCTCATTGATATCTCATACGGGCATTGTTAAAAATGGGGTGAATATTTTGCGAAAAAATTTGAATAAATATTTTCGGGCCTCACAAACGACTCTCTCTCTTTAGGATCGTGTCATGGTGAGGTCAGTAAATTTTAAGACTTATTAGGGATGTAACTGTATGCTTGTTGATAACTGTGCTACTGTCAAATGATTTTTTCTTTTAGAGTTACCACGACAGTCAGTGTGACAAGCATATGAATTATTACATAAACTTAAAATGTACGCAATTCAGAACAAGATTGATTTTTGCAATCTGAATTTATCTTAATGTGACAATGATGGGTTAAAGGAAATAAACATTTATTAAAACACTTAATTGAATTAGTTATTTTAATTAACTGATTCCGACGGGAACCTTCTTCTGGTTTTCGCAATTGATACAAAAAGCTCGAATAAAAAAAAGGTTTTTTTTAATAGTTTCTTGTTTTCTGTTGTACAAGTGTACATGGTTACTGAATTATGTCCTTTATAATTCTTGGGCAACAAGAAAAGGTACAGTTATTTTCCAGTAACCCTGGAATGCGTAATGTAAATTGGCCACCATTAAGAGTTTATAAGGCTGACATTTCTAGCGTTAGCCCTTCGTCAGAGAAAATAGAGGAATTGTGGAGCTCTACTATATGTGGGAACATGTTATCACTAGTAGCGTGGATCAATCTTTTTGCACATATACCCCAAACAACCCACAATTCTTCTATTCGCTATGACTAGGGACTAACGCTCGAAAAGTCAGCTTCTGGAATTTTTTTACGGTGGCTGATTCGCGTTATGAACTCAATAGGTAAGACCCTAAAACTATCTTGTAACATCGCCCTCTCACCACCACCGACGCAATACCACGGTTTCCTTAGAAACCAACCCCATTGTAACTAAACGAGATCCCATTGGTTATTGAATTACAAAGGAGCGCTGTATCAGCATTATTCCGTAGCGCTAAAGCAATGATTGCCATGTCGACAATCTTGTTGCCTCTTAAACTGTCCTCTCATATATTCACACGATTCAGTTTCATTATATTCGTCCGTCTGTTCAATCTGTGAAGAAATGTTATTTCATGGACGGGCGAATAATCACTCTTCCTATCTATCTCCTTTTCTATTTCCACATTTTATTTGCCATAAATTCCGGTAAATGATACAAAAGGATGTAATAAGAAGAATTGCTTAAAACTGGAGTATTAGCCAAAAATTCATCTGATATTTTCGCTCTGACGAAGGGCAATCACTCGAAACGCCAGCCATGGAACTCTTTACGTTGGCTGATTTATATTATCAACTTAGTTGATAAAACCAAAATTATCTTCACGCACGTGTAGAAAATAACAGTAGTTAGTCACCAAGGTACAAGTCGTATTGTTAATGGTAATCATTTCCTTTACTCTTGTGACCCTGATGTGTGACCCAGGGGTGAAGAGAAATTAGATGCTGTTCACTCTAAGAGGCTCAAGAAGGTCAAAGGTTGAAGAAATGACCTCCGAGCTTCATTAAATTTCCAAAGGATTTTATTACAACTCCTTTCGCATACAAGAACGCTATAAATAAAATTTATTTACACATCGTCAATTTATTTTCTCTTAGAACTATTTTGAAAACATGTCACAGTTATATTGTTTCGTTGACATCGTAACAGTTGAGGTAAAACTCGTATAAATTCCTTTTACCTGCAAACTTCTCAAATTTAGTCGTCAACAGACTGTTAGTCTTTGCTGTTGTTCTGCAATGAATTTTGTTGCTGGAATATTTCATCAGAAATACTTTCCGACACCTAGTATCCGTCTGCACGCCAATACACTACTTGCTACGAAATGAAATTTCCTTTAGGGAACGAATCTTATCAATGTACAACTATCTTTTTATTTTAAACGTTTTTGGTTTTCATTTCCATGTTTTTACAGCTCATTAAATTTTATAACGTATCAAATTTCTATGCGATGGTTGCCTATTAAAGGAAATGAAAAAAAAAATATTTCCAAACTCTAAAAAAAAGAAGGTTTAAATAAAATATATCTCGTAAAGTTTTCCTTTTATATATTTTAACTTTTCTTCACTCTTCTGATCTAGTTTTTGAGTACGAAAGAAATGAAGTTTTACTTCCGTGATGTGGGACAATTTTTCATCCATTATTGAAAAGTAGCAGAAAAGGTTTTTTCTTGTGTAAATTTACCATCTCAGAAAGAAAATTTTAAAAAATCACCATTTTTAACGATTCCCAACTTAATTTATCTGCGTTTTGTTAGAAATAAATAACCAATTTCTCTTATGAAGCACACTAGATATATGTTAAAATTTTAAATATAAACGTTAAACTATTTCTTAGCGCAGAAAGCTGCTGAACTTCTCTTAATTTTACACGATTTACAAACAATAAGAAAAAAAATTCAAAGATGTTTACTTTGTTTTTCGTATTAGCATTTAACTACAACGCAACGAACAGTAAATAGCAAGTTTAATCGTCTGATAAGTCAATAGTAACGGGTTGTTTCTTTGAAGGCGACGAGTACATCCCAGAACTATCCAGGCTTTTCTTGACTACATTTTCTAACTGTGAAGGACTTTGCAGATTTCGATGTTCCTTTTTAAATATGTTCGATAGAAAATGGTCATTCATTTTTTCGCTTTCAAGTCTTTGTTGGGCTCGATTTTGCTGTCTACAGTATCGCATAAACTCTTCATGAGCCAACATATGTTGAGGGTGATATTTACTTTGCGGGCTCATTATAAGCTGCTGCTGAAGTTGACGATCAAAAGGCGTCGACGCGAGCGCGTGAACCGGCAAGGCAGCCAATTCTTCAGGGAAAATGCCACGCGCATTATTGCCGTGAAGATGCATGAGTTCAGGGTGTTGCCATAGAGCCGGATTGTTCCTCCATGAAGTAAGTCCTGGATGTTGTAGATAAGCTTGGTCGAGAGCCGAAAGACTAGCGGCTTGTAAGTTTTGAAGGTGTTGTTGCTGCTCGTGAGGATGAATGTGAAAATGCGTGTGAAGATGAGAATGCGAGTGTTGCTGAGGTCCGTAATACTGGAGTCCTGTAGCGGGATCAGTAGTAAGAACACGTCCAGGGCCCCCTTTGAGGAGGGACTCGTGGCTGCGCGAGTCCAATGCGCTTTGTTCCAGCGCCCTACCCTGCCCCTGAAGATAAGAGATTGCAGAGAGATGGTGACCAGATTGCAATTGGGCTGAGCGATAAGGCGCATACCATTGTTCAAACCCTTCCGCAAATTTCGCGGCATTTTCCCTAGAATCCCCGGCGGGGACCACGCCCATTCCAGAGAACATGTGGAAAGGAAGCATTCTGTAGTCCACTCCGACACTCGGGGGTGGAAATCCCGATATATTGATGCCCTGAGATGACATACCCGGCGGTATATTCGGGGGATACAAGTGATATTGTCCTCCAGCCATGTAATTTCGAAGTGACGCCTCGTAATGCGAAGTAACAGTAGCTGGAGCGTTGTACGGGGACTGACTGGCGTTGGATCGAACTGACACTTCTGTAGATGATTCGCTGGCCTGAAGAACAAAAGAGGGACTTTGTCTTTAAGAAAAGTTCAGGACATTTTCAAGACATATCTTAATTTGAAGAAAACGAGCCATTTTGCTTTGAAACCAATCAATTGTTAAACATTTTGATTCCCCTCTATTTCCCGAAAGATGCGAGATTTGCATGGTGCAGTCGAATGATATACACCTCTAACTTATTACTTCAGTAACAGACTTTGCCGCGCTTCCAAAATTGGGTTGGAGTGTTTGAGTCTGATTAGTTGACTGTCCGCTCTGAATGTTGATCGGAATCAGTTTCTGTGAAGGTGTTTCTTTGAAACTCACCCCAAAGGAGCCCACTAAGTAACATGTGACGAATCTGGACTTCACATGTACGGAATTTAAGTCTACTGTCATTTCTCTTTTTTTTTTGTGTAGTGTTACGCAGTAAATCCATTATGAATCACACGCACCTCAGCCTTTGATGACGATTCTTTAGAAACGGACACTTCTCGAGAACAAGTCGTGTCCTTCTTCGGCTTTTCGGAATGCACGAAGACGACGTCGGTACGTGCACAGCTTCGTCCTTCCTCACCAGAAATCAGGCGCTTAAATCTGTCAGGCAATTTAATAGGCTCTGAAGCATCAGCCGGTGAACAGGAACGGTTACTAGCCACCTCGTCATTGTTGTTACTGCTATTGCTACAAACACTACTGGCGTCGTGATCTGGAAGCACACTGTCCCTACCCCCGGTGGTGCTGCTGGTGTCACTGGCATTGTCGTTTGCATCTTCGTCAGAATCCTAGGGGAGGGGAAGGAAGAAAAGAAAATGACTTTTAACTTCACACAGATACATGCACTGTTAATCAAGCTCGAGAACAAAATGGAGGAATATCGACCGAGTTCTGTTTTAAGGTTTCCATGGACCGAAAAGTACAAGTTTATAAAAGAAATAAACCCTTTCACTCCCAAGATCTCATTTTTAATTCACCTTGCGAATTTGTAATTGGATCAACTAATAATCCCTTAATATATTTCTGTTCTCATCACATGTCTGCTTGAGAAT